CAGTTCTGAGAGCCTGAAGGAGAAGGAGTGGTGAGAGATGAGGCTGAAGGGAATGGAAGGGCCAGGCCAAACCCAAGGCCATTCTGTATTTAGATTTTGTCCTAGAGCAGTGGGGAGCTCTTGAGCGAAGGAGTGGCATGAACAGATTTGCATTTGGGAGGATTCCCCCAGGGTGGGTGGAGACCATGGGACAGGGAGGCGGGGGCAGCAGTGAGAAGACCATTGCCATTGGACATATGACAATGGTAGTCTTGATGGGAGGGCTGAGAGTGTCATTTCAGGTAGAATCAGTGGAGCTTGGTGATTGCCTGGGTAGAGGGATAGGGAGCTGTTGGGTGGGTATCCGATCCCGTGGATGGAACAGGAGGTGGTCCAGGTGGGTGAAGGGAGGAGGAGTTCTATGTAGACATGTTTAAGAGGCTCCCAGAACACCCAGGGAGACGCGAAGCAGGCGGCTGGATGTAGGGACAGGCAGCTCCAGCTAGGGGTCTGGACGGGGCACGGGTTCAGGAGTCACAGCAGAGAGCTGAGAGTGGGATATACTCGCCCATTTGATGTCTAAAGGCCCAGACAGGAGAGAGAGGAGGGCCTGTGAGAGATGGAGAGGAGACTGAGAGAAGGTCAAGGAGTGGACAGCAGCCAATTTAACATGAAGTCCCGAGGATAAGGGCTGACAGACTTCGCTGATTTAGAGGCAGGAAGACCCCTGAGGACCTCACTGGGGCTGTTGCCATGGAGTGTGAGGGCAAATCCAGATTGGGGGGGGGGGGCGGGGGGAAAGTGAGTGGGACATGAAGCCAAAATATCCTGGGGCACGATTGGCTCTGAAGGGGAGGAAAAAGCTGGGTGGTCAATGAAAGGGTTTGCCCAGTGGCCCCAGACAGCAAACCTGCTGCTGGGATTTTGAAAAAGTATCGCCTCTCCCCCAACACCCTGAGCTCTTTAAGATCAGAAATGGTGTCTCCCTGTCATGACCTCTCCACAGGGCCCTGTATCTGAGCAGGCTTTGGGTCGTAAGCAACGAGATGCCCAACCATAAGAGGCTTGGGTAATGGAGAAGTCTGACTGACAGAGGGCAGGGCGGGGGGGCGGGGGGGGGCGCTATCTTCTCAATCGGGTGGTCAGAGACCCAGCCTTTTTTCCACCTTCTACTCCCCAACCTTGGGCATGGGATGTCACGACGCCTGATGCCACTCCAACCTCATGGCTTTACCCCATAGAAGAGGCTTTCTCTCTCGGACGTCTCTATTTGGGGGAGGAAATGAATCCTCCAGAAATTCTGTTTCTTTGTTATGGGGTGACTCTGTTACTAATGTTGTGGCCCCACCCCATAACAAAGAAACAGAATATCCGGAGATGAGGCCCAGAAATCAGGATTTTAAAAAGATTCCCAGGTGATGCTAATGTGCAGCCAAGGTTGAGAACCACTGCCGTGGGGGCTGGGGCTTTGCACCTGGACACACCTGTTGGGAAGAAGAAAGCGTCTCCCAGTGCTTGGGGGCGGGCGTCCCCGTCAGACTGGGCACTCGCTCCCCGAGGACAGGAGTTCTGTCTTCCCATCGGAAGGACCCGGAGCCTAGGTGCTTCCCCGGACTAGACGCGTCTGGAGGACAGGGGCCATCGAACATTCCCAAACCCTCAGCCAGGTTTATTTTCTTGTGATTCCAGGGAAGCAGGATAGCTGTCGCAGGAAGCTGTGTGAATGTGATAAAGCAGCTGCCTCCTGTTTTGCGAGAAACCGGAAAACCTACAAGAAACAGTACCAATACTACCCCAACCACAACTGCCGTGGGAGAGACCACCGGTGCTGAGGTCCCGCCCCTGGAAGTCTCACCACCCACGCTGAGCTTCCCTCTCTGGCCCCCACCCCTCCCCGCCCTGGCTCGTTCCTGGCAAAGAAGGAAACACCCCTCTCCCATCCCAGAGACAAGCCAGGAGCCCCTCGACCCCCAGAGAGAAGCCTTCCTTTCAGAATGAGAAGCCCCGAGGCAGGTGGCCTGGCGCCTTTTGCCCTTTTCCTTGGGAGGCAGTTGTCCCCGTCCCCACTGCTCTCCAAGTCCCGCTTCCTGCTTAGCCGTGGCGGCTACATTCCCAGGGTCTCCTCTAAATAAAGCAATTAGTTCATTGGCAAACTGTGTACGTGTGTGTGCACGCGCACTTGTGTGAGTGTGGTGCGTGTGTGTGGGTGTGTGTGAGTGTGTGATTGTGTGAGTGTGCGTGTGTGTGTGAATGTGCGTGCGTGTGTGTGCGTATGTGTGTATGTATGTGAGAGTGTGTGTATGTGAGTGTGTGTGTGATTGTATGTGAGAGTGTATGGGTGTGTATGAGTGTGTGCATGTGAGTGTGTGTATGTATGTGAGTGTGTGTGAGAGTGTGTGTATGGGTGTGTGTGTGAGTGACTATGTGTATGTATGTGTATG